GGTTCTTGGCACGATGTGATATACTGTAGCTGCGAGCTGTCGCGAGGCGGACTCCCGCCAACCCAATTTTAGCCTAGATAGAACTGGAACTTACTGTATGAATGTCTCATATGAACTGTTTATGCATAGGCGCGTTTAAAATCTGGTAGTTTTTTTGGACGAACGTACAAATTTTTTCGTTTCTTCAGGCATCCAGAACTCTCTAGATTTCGGCTTCTAGAACGTGGTGCGCTGAAGCTGGTGCGGAATTAACAAGATATTTCATAGAGCTTGTTTTGTATCAAATGGTACCCTGCATCCTGATTAGAACTGAAAAGTGCGTGATTTATTGCTCTAAAAAACAAAATTTGAAAAAACTCATGAGACAACGATATGGATTCGACAATTCCAATCTTGGTTTTTCCCTCATTTAGAGATTACTGATGTCTGCGACCAAAAACGATTATGTAGCAAATCAGATCTTCATTCCATGGATGATGGAAAGTATGGTAGCAAATATGCGTCATTAGATACTATACGCCTCTTTTTACCTAATGACGCTTTTTTAGCACTGCCACACCTCGGTCCCGCTCTCAACACTATTCAAGTTTGCGAAGTACTGGATAGAGGGCAGAGTTCTCTGGGAGCATAAAAACCATTGTAGTGAATTTTATCTGCATTGTGCTAGGCTAGCGATAATGCTCTCACAATGTCCTATCCATTCGTTGCCGCAAATAGTGATAAAAGAGAGACACAAGCGCCGCTTGTTTGCACTTTCTCGTAAACTTTTGATATCATAGCATTGGGCTTTTTCCACATTTTCGGAAATAAACAGAGAGAAAGGAAGATACTAGGAGCAAAAGGAAATGAGCAAAAGATAAGACAGTATGATCACGATTGTGCCAAAGGAGTTTCGAAGGTGCTGATTACTTTTCCCCATTGGAGTTTGCTCTCTAACTACGGAGGAACCAAGATGAAGTCCATGTCGCAATTTTTTTGTGATTTCGACCTGCTCATTTTACTCATTGCTTATAAATATGTCAAACCCCAAGAATGGTTACATTTCTGAAGGTTACTTATGTGAGACATAAAAATACAAGAGTCATAAAATGCTTAGAATTTTTGCAATTTTTTTGAAAACCAAATCAGGCAAAAAACATTTTCGGGGGTGTAGTTGCCCGCCATGCCCCTTTTTCCAAATTTCGGGGCAAAGGCTATGCTATTTACTCGATAGATCCCTCTCCCTTCCCCATCGGAAGTCTCGACCCCACTGCTTTGAGGTATGAATTTAAGGCAACTTAACCGTAGCATGAGGCAAAGTCATGTTTGCCTCAAATTTATACCTTAATAGCGCCCCCTCAAACTGGTGGGTATCGGGATTTTACGACCTTGTAGTGGCGGACCCCCAA